GGGAGACAAGTGTGAAATCATGCGGCCAGAGCACTCAGAGCATCCAGGGCTTACTCGGAGACAGGTGGGAGACAAGTGTGACATCATGCGGCCAAGCACTCAGAGCATCCAGAGCTTACTGGGAGACAAGTGGGAGACAAATGGGAGACAAGCGTGAAATCATCCGGCCAGAAATGATGCGGCCAGGGCACTGAGAGCATCGAGAGCTTACTGGGAGACAAGTGGGAGACAAGTATAAAATCATGCGGCCAGGGCACTGAGAGCATCCAGAGCTTACTGGGAGACAAGTGGGAGACAAGGGTGAATTCATGCGGCCAGGAACACAAGCCCGGAGACAAACTCAAAATCATCCGGCCCGAGCATGCACCCCTTTAAAAGGAGTAAGAACCCCTCACAGGTAAACCTGTTTGGGGAAAAAACTTTAAAAATGTCAAAAATATACCACTGCTCGAAAATGTCCCAAAAAAACGTCCCAAAAAAGTTTGTTTAAAACATAATAACAATAATAATATTAAGCGCAAAAATGAAGTCGAAAAAACAGAACTCAAAACTATAAAACAACCCGAAAAGTCAAAAAAAGGGTCAAATAAAGGTAAAAAAAAGTCAACCGCTCGAAAAAGTCAAAGAACGTCAAAAAACATGTCAGAGAAGTCGGGAAAATATATTCTCTTTATATTAAAAAATAAAAGAATACTCAGAATATACACTTAAAAAAGTCGGATCTGGGCAAATGGACTTTTCGTTGACTTTCTGAAACTTTCTGATTTTACTTGAATGACTTTGACTTTTGGGACTGACTGTTTTGACTTGTTTGATATTTTTTTAATTGTGAAAACGGGCTCTCTCCAACGAAAGGTGTTTATAAGTTTATAAGGCTTGTTCTGGCTTTCATTGTGAATCTCTGTACTTTGGTGTTTTTCATTGTTGGCCCCCAGTTTCTTCAAGAACTCAAGCTAGCCATGAATGATGTGGCACTTGATTTATCAAGGGGGAGGCAATGGCTGCAACCAGTTTGGACGGAGTTGAAAAATCACCATGCGACGAACATATCCAGTTCAGACAGGTTTAGCAAAGCTTCCAAGAATCCGACAGAAATGCCGGGTCTGCTAGGGACAGCAGAACCGTTGAAGTACCTAAACATGTCGCCCATTCCCTAAAGAGGCCTTCTCCAGTGAACAGACTTGCCCAACCTTCTCTGAAAACTCACAGCTCGCTCTTTCTCTGACAACCATCAGCTCCGTCTCGACACTGCTGGGGCGCTCATGTCCAGTCAAATGGATTGGGCTCAATCGCTCGGGAAGTACAGCACCCCAGAACTGGCTCAAACGCCAAAACAAATTTGACAAAGCCTTTTTGCTGTTGAACCAATCGAACTCGCTAAAACCAACCAAGAAATGCAACCAAGCAAGGGTTCCAAAGTTCGGGGTATCGCCAAGCAAAGCAAGTGCAAAAGCGGCGAGTGCTAAACTTTTTGGCATCGGCTTGATGACGTCATCTGCGGTTTGAATCGGCTGAGCTCGGTGCAACATGTCTGGGCAATGCGAAAGCGAAACACACAAAAACTCACATCCCAAAAAGAACTTGTTGCCCAGACTTGGCACGAGCATTTCGACGCTCTCGTTGGCCTTTTTTTCCGGATAGCGGATCGCCTCTGTTCCTCTGCCAAATCCGACTCCGTGGATATGAGGCAGATGTGACCATTCTTCTTAAGGCCTTTCAAAAGAACATCCTTCATGCTCTTCGTGAGAGCATCGGCTAACTGCTTGAAAGTGGGAACCCAACACGGAGACCTACCAATTTCTCTTCGATCATCCTCTTTGTCATGAGGAGATCGATTGCCGTCTGACGCTCTTGGGTCAAGTGACCTGAGCTCAATCAGTGGTCGTACAGACCCTTCGCGTCTATGACCAACAGACCTTGTACAGGCAACGACTCACGCCAGTTTGGCGCGACATCCAACTGGCCATACCTCAACGCTCCATACAGGAGTCGACTGTACAACTGCACATCTGCCCCTTTTGTGAGGGCACAACTCTCAGCTGCCAAGCTGCTGCGAACCACACGGCCAATCTTGTTCGAGTGATACTCAATGATGTTGGCACGCCGGGGCTGGGACAGAGACAAGGAATCCGTGAGCACATGGACCTCGCCAGATTGTGCAGTCCCATCCTTCTTTCCTAACGCAGCATCGAAATATGTGACAAAAAGAGCATCACCTTTCAACTCATGGTATTCAAGACGGGCTTCTCCAGCTCGCGCTGCTTCATGCATTTCCTCCAACAACTGATTTGCCTCCTTGGCCTCCAATGCCGAGGCGGTGGAGACGCGTTGTGCTAAGGAGCTGGCTCTAAACATGTATTCCGGCGTGACATGCTGAATCGGCCAGCGCATCTTCATCACAAGCTGGCGGTAAGCCGTGAGGTCTTGGCTGGAAAGTTTGCCAGGCGAAGTTGGCACCGTCATGGGCTGGATCTTGAGAACATACGTGGTCATGTCATCGATGATCACGTTTTGGCTCTGGTCAAAACTGACTTTCATACCCAAATAATCTACTCCCTTCAAATCAATCTTTTCCCAGGCTTTGATATTGAAAGCTTGGTCGATCTTCTTTCGGAGGGACTCAAAATCAGGGTCTCTTGGGTTTCCAGTTAGGAACCCATCGTCAACGTGTAAGCCACACAAAGCAAAAACACCTGAATCATTCTTGGCTACGAAAGTGCTTCGGCAGAAGGGGATCTCTTGCATGCCAACCTGAGTCAAAAGTTCAACTGCACTGCACGGAGGTACCAAAGCCTTGGAGCTTCTGCCAATCCGTATGCAGGTTTGACCACACGAAGGAGTTCATATGGCTTGACTGCTGGAGTGGTGTCTGTCGCCGGAAGTCCATCCTTGGGCCCCCTGACAAACACAAGACGATCGGTGTTTCGACCACTCAAGAAAGCCGTGGCCACGTCGAAGGCATAGCAACACCAATGGAGGGTTACACTCAAGCTCTTCATCATACGAATTGCTGTGGGAGTGGTGGTAGGACTGTCCGTCCGGAACTCCCCCAGTCCTGGGTCAGTATGACCGGGGATCACAATCCTGCTTTTCGGTTGGATCTCTTTGGGATCTTTCGATTTGTTGACCCGACCCGAACGATGCGGAGGGGAAGTCGAAAAATGGCAGACTTCGGAACGGAGGCAGCCTCTTCCGGAGTGAGTCGCTTTATCACCCCATTCTTGATCCAAGCCTCCCACTCCCGCAGGTCCGAGTCCTGAAATTTCTTTGCTTCTTCTTCGCTAAACCATCGTGGGTCTAGCTCCTTCCCTGAAGCTTTCAACTTCAGAAGCAGCACCTGCTTGTAGACCTGCCACACCTGCTCCTTTTCTACGAGGTCTTTCCAAATCTTCACTTCTTCTGAACTCTTCAAAGATGCCTCGTATGTGTTTTCATCGATCTGGACATAGGCCTTGTGAGGTGGCTCCTTCTTTGACTTCTTTGCTTCTGGATTGACAAAAACGGTCAATCCTCTCCAAGCCACCGAGCAGGTCTTCCTCGGCTTTTCCATATCCTTAGTGGACTCATCCACGATCATAGCTTCTCCTGGTCCTTCTAAAAGCATTATCGTGATCCTCCTTCTCTTCTTTCCATTCGGCACTGGCTGAAGCTTCTTTCTAGGTGTGCGGTGTAGTCGTACCGCACTCACCGGCAAGTCCAGCAGACGTCGGATCTGCTTCACTTCTTTCGGAAGCCATTGGCTGTGCCTCTTCCGTTCTTCTCCTTTCTTCAAAATCTTCTGTCGCAGCAGTCCCTTGAACTCTTGGTCGGAGACCATCACTTGCAACTGCTGAAACATGGTTCTTGGAATCTTTGCCTTCTGCTCATCGTCCTCCTCTGCCTTTCTCTTCAGACAGAGTGGTACATCATCTAGTAATTTCTTTCTTTTCTCCTCAAGTGT